GATGCCTCCGCCCGGAGAGAAAGGGAGCTCAAAGCCGGACTCATGCAGAGATCTCTGGCAAAAAGATTGATTAAACAAAAGAACAATTAAACAAAAGGGAGAGGAAAGGCAAAGTAATAATCACTCTAACGAGGCAGAACTAAAATGTGGACAAACACAAAATAAAATCACCCTGAAAAGAGGATGAGAAAAGTTACAAAGTACAAAATAAACTCATTCTGAAAAGAGGTTGACAAAAGTTACAAAGTACAAAATAAATTCACTTGCACGAGGAATAACAAGGAAAGGTTCAAGGCTTTGGTTTGGTTTGAGGACAAGGTTAATGCACAGTTCTGGTCAAGAGATTAAACCCAGTGGCTCCAGACAAGGAGAGACAAGGGAAGGGAACCCCAGGGGAACACAATCAGACACACAGGGGAGTGCAAGAGGCCTGAAACAAGGGGGTGTACCTTTCAAAATAAAACAGGAAATGACAAGAGAACCATGGAGACGGGACAAAACACCAGAGAATCCCCCAGGCGGGACATGAACAAAGTATCAAATAATTATCAGTCTAAGGAGGCAGAAAAAGACTATGAACAAAGTACAAAATAAACTCACCCTGAAAAGAGGAAATGCAAGAAAGGGTTCTAGACAAAGTTTGGTTTGAGGACAAGGTTCACGCTCAGTTTGGGTCAAGAGACAAAAAACAGTTTTTTGCAGCTCATCATTTTACCCTGAAAAGGTTTTTTATTTTATTTTAAAATCAGACGTGTTTTTCATGTTATTTTTGCTGATTGGAATCCAGATGTGTCCTTAACATCTGGGCTTTCTCTGGGTTATTTGCAGGGATCTGAGCATGAATAATCTGACTGCAGTGTCCAGCGGAGCTCTGTCTAACCTGCACTTCCTGGAGGAGCTGTGAGTCCCCACACACACACACACACACACACACACACACACACACACACTGTGAACATCAGCTTCAGTTCTTCACAAAAACTATGATGATAGTCGCCGGTCAAATGTAGCATTTTCAAGGCAGTTTCAGTAATTGTCTCACTTTGTTGTCTTTTTGTTCACTTTCTGTTTCTATTTTATCTATTTAGTCATTTTTCCCCTTTCAGGTCATTTGTACTTCTTTTTATTCTGCTTTTGTGCTGATTTAATTTCTCCTTTTCATATATTTACGTCTGTGAAACACTTTGTTCCCTTTTCTGGCTCGTTTGGTTTCACTGGGGTTGTTTTTTCTGTGTGATATAAACTAATTTGAACCCTTTTTGTGTGTCATATAAGTCCTTATCTCCTCTGTTTCAAACCAGTTTTCCACACATTAATCTGGACACGTCTTGGCAGTTTCTGTCTATCATTTTAGCGATTTGTTTATTCATTTTCACAGTGATTGGATTGTTTATGTTTCTGTGTTTTTCTGCTGATTTAATGTCTCTTTCCACACATTTACATGTTAAGGAGTCATCCCTTTAGAACATCTGCTGGGATTTTGGTACTTTTCGTCTCATTATCGTTATTATTATTATGCATCTATTAGGTTGTTTTTTTCCACCTCTGGGGTAATTTTGATATTTAATTTTTCAAATTTAGTCTCAGTTTGTCTCTTAAAATTCTTCCTTTTTCTCTTTTGAAAAATGTTTAAAGATTTATTTTTCACTGAATTTTTTATTCCTTATTTTTTGCCTTCCGTCTTTGTTTGCCTTGTTTATGTTTATGTTTATGCATTTGGTAGGTTGGTTGACAGCCTTCAGGTTGACAGCTGGGATAAGATGGACACATCCCAACTGTCATCTTTAAGTAGTAGTAATCGATATTAAAGCAGAAAGTAGAATAAAGAAATGAAAGCTCTGTTGTTTATTAAAGAGATAAAGCTCATTTGCTTCTGAGGGTGTGTGAGCTGAGATGAAGCTCATCCTGGAAACTCTAATCAGAGACTGACCTCTTCCCTGTGTGAGCTCTCTGAAGTGTGTCTGTGAGCAATGATGAGCTCAGATATCTGTGAGGATACGAGATGTAATCCCACCCCCCCCACCTCCCCGCCACAGTGGGCCGACCCAAAGCCCGAGCCGGACAGAGGCCGCTGACCTCACCGGGACCCGAACAGGACCCTGCTGCCAGCCGTGTGTGTGTGTGTGTGTCTGTGTGTGTCTGTGTGTGTCTGTGTGTGTCTGCGTGCGTCTGCGTGTGTGTGTGTGTGTCTGTGTGTCTGCGTGTGTGCGATATTTGTCATGGCGGCGTGAGAAACGTCACCATGGCGATAGCACACCGCAGACACAGAGGGCTGAACTCTGAGTGGCCTCTGCAGAGCCGGAGGTTCAGCACTGAGTCTGAGTCTCTCACCTACACACTCAGCCCGAAACACAGAGAAAACACACGTACGGTGGCCTGCGAGGACATAAGAGTGAAAGCCGTTTTCTAAACCTAAAGATGCTGCAAATCAAAGAAGGAAGAAGCTCTGAAACTGAGTAATTCCTGGAAGATTTGATATAGGCTCTTGGGTTCAAACGATTCTATCATTTTCTGAAGTTACAGCTTTTGCCTTCAGTCTTTGCTTTTTAATCTCTAATATAACCTAACTGCGAGTTGTCAGAATTGGGAACTCAAGGCAGGATGCTGCGATATGGCAAAAAACATTTAGTTTTAATAAAGGCGCACTAAGGGAGTGGAAGACAAGGCAAAGTACAAAATAATAATCTTTCTTGAAAACGAGGCAGACAAAGCTATGAACAAAGTATCAAATAATAATCACTCTAACGAGAAAGAACAAAACTGTGGACAAGGACAAAAAAAACTCACTCTGAAGGCGGGAACGAAAACTAAGAAGTATACAATTAAAATCACTCATAAGAGAAACAAAACAAGGTCACAATCTGACAGATGACACACAGGGGAGTTCAAGAGGCCTGAAACAAGGGGATGTACCTTTCAAAATAAAACAGGAAATGACAATACAACCATGGAGACGGGACAAAAACACCAAAGAATCCCCCAAGAGGACACGAGTCACCATCAGTCTTTTTAAATGCACTTTGTTGTTGTTGGTGTCTGATGTCTCACATTTTTACTTTTTTTCTGACAGCAGATACAGAAATACAGAACTTTTCAAAGCTTGTGGAGGCTTTCAGTGAACAGTGGGACTCACTTGTTGTGTGTCTCTTTCTGTTTCAGCCGTCTGGCCGGGAATGACCTGGCCTTCATCCCAAAAGGAGCCTTCACCGGCCTCTACAACCTCAAAGTGCTGTAAGGCCTCCCGTGTCTGTGTGGTCAGCTTTGGGCTCCTGTAGCTGTGTTCTCCCTCCTGATTGGACTGTTTTGGCCTCTACAGGATGCTGCAGAACAACCAGCTGAGGTCTGTTCCTGCCGAGGCCTTCAGGAACCTGCACAACCTGCAGTCACTGTGAGACACCTCCACTTTATGGACACTCCCACAATGCTCCTGTTCATCCTCCATTCAATTCAATTCAATTCAACTTTATTTATATACACAAACTTTCCAAACAGAGCAGCTCAGACTCTGAGTTATTTACAGAAGAACAACAGTTCCCACCGAGAGCAGCACTAGGAGACACAGGGAGGGAAAAATCAACTTTAGGGGGCAGAAACCTGAAGCAGAACCAGAGAAGGGGGGGGCATCTGCCAGATGAGAGAGAAAGAGAGAGAGAGAGAGAGAGAGAGAGAGAGAGAGAGAGAGAGAAGGACAGTGAGAGGCAGCCTCCACAGTAACACATAGACTGTATGAAAAATGGTAAAGATATTGATAATAATGATAATGATAGCAATAATAATAACAATAGAGGAAACTCCCAATAACAGATCCAGCTTCCACAGCTCCAGGAACACCTGGAGGAGGTGATGGAGGAGAGAGGAGAGGGAGAGGAAGCACAGGACTAGGGGAAAGGGAGAGAGTCCAGTTAGTAACATCATTAGAGAGAGAAAGGAGAGGGGAGCCCGGTGCATCATGGGAAATCCCCCGTTAGTCTGGGCCTATAGCAGCATAACTAGGGGTGGACTAACCCTAACTATAAGCTCTAACATAAAGGAAAGTCTTAAGCCTACTCTTGAATATAGAGTTTTTTAGGAAAACACCTCATCAGGTCTTGAAATGAGGTCAAATCCATCTCAGATGAGACATCTTACTCTGTTGAACGCTTCATAAAAGAAACAAATGGCAGTAAAAAGCCTAAATTAGTGGAATGAATTTCCCTTTACAGCTGCCATGTTATCCAGACAGCTGCTGTTCAGAGCTCTGGTTTTTTATCCTCAGTGAGGGTGAGCAGCTCTGTTAGAGCAGAGGAAAACTTCCAGGGCAAAAACACAGTTAGCAGGTTAAAAGTTAAAGCTAACTATGCTTTTTCTACTTCAGTTTTTATCCTGAAAACTACAAAATCATATAATTCCACTGTCTAGATTCTCAAATTACTTATAGGTTTAAGCTTAATTTACATGACGGAGATTTGTTAATATGTCACTTCAATTTAAATTGAATTAAATTAAGATTCAAGTTGACTCTTTGGTGGAAGAAATCTCCTGAAACAGAGTCCTATATTAATGTATGTAGAGGAGACAGTGTGCCCTCTCAGTCTGATGACACACTAATTATTCTGAAACTGTACCTGTGTGTGTAGATAAAGGCTTTAAGAATGCGAGGTCTAAGTCTTTCTTTAGGACTAAAGTCTTTCTCTCATTCATCTGATGGACGATTATGTGGAGTCCCATCCTTCTCATCTTTCTGTCCCAGAACAGAGGAGCATTTGTTAGCATGGACAGGCAGTCGGGACTCTCCACATGCATGTTTTGGTTTCATTAACCCAGAATAAGATCCACGGTCTCTGTCTGAATTCAAGGCAGACCCGATCAAACAGGGGAAGAAAGAGTATTCCAACCCTGGCTGGTTAGAAGAGCAGTTTTTCTCTGGTTTTCATAACCTTTTGGTGGTATCAGAACATGTGAGCATGTGCTGATGAAGGAGGAGCTCTAAAATAAACTTTATTTCCTTTTCTGAGCTCCAGTTTAGGACGGTTATTCTGAAAAACTCACGCCTGGTTAAGCCACTTTCAAAACCTCATTTTAATTAATTCAATAGTAAAATATTGTTCGCTAAAGTACCACGTTTATCTTAGCTGTGAAGCAGCTCTTATTGGTTTTTAACGCATCATTCGTTTATTACTTTTAACACACAAACCCGGTTTCTCTGCTCACTCAATCCGCTTCAGATTGTGAAATAGTTTGGTTGGAAGCACAAAAACAGCCAGTAAGGTTTGTGATAAAACTTGCTGTTGGGCCCAAAACACAAAAAATAGGAGTCTCTCAAGTTGAATGTTGTTTTTGAGTCCGGTGTCTTTGATTAATTCACAAAATCCCCCTAATGACTCCTGGTACAATAGCTGTGTGTTCATTAAAACCCTCCAGCCTGGCCTGAGAGCCTGGAGGCTGGTCAAGAGGCTCTCCAGCTGCCTGCCCATCACTCTCTCCATCTTTAATGCTCCTCTTCAGCTTCAGATTAAGCAAAGCCTCCCTGTTTTACAGACAAAGGGCTACTCCTGAAGGCTTTGAAAAGGGTAGATTCTTCTTTGGACGGGACACTTTTACCTGGGGACCTTTGGCTCCTTTCGGTTCAGTCCAGTCTTTCTTCACTCAGACTCATGATGGACTCACTAATTGTTCACAAACAGGTTCTTCCTCTCTTTGTGTTGGAGCAGAACCAGACCAGAGAGTTTTCCCACATTTACCCTGGCTCTGCATCTCCCGACAGACGCCTGGACGCCAACCACATCTCGCGGGTCCCCCCCGGCTGCTTCTCGGGGCTGCGCTCCCTCCGCCACCTGTGGCTGGACGATAACTCCCTGCGGGAGGTCCCGGCGGAGGCCCTGGGGGAGCTGCCCGCCCTGCAGGCCATCACGCTCGCCCTCAACCACATCGCCCACATCCCCGAGCACGCCTTCAGCCGCCTGGGCCGCCTGGTGGTGCTGTACGTACTCACCAACGCAGCAAAAAATACACACCATCCAGGCTTATGACACGGTCCCCCATCTGTCCCCGGAGTTTGAATTAGGTGTAGGTTATGGAGAAACAAAACAAGTAATGCAACAGGAATTTACAGATTTTTGCTTTACTGTTTAAGATGGAAATGCAATTTTATGCATCAAATATTTCTATATTTGTATATTTATTATTATTACATAATAATAACATAGTTATTATTAATTGTATTATTATAATATATATATATATATATATATATATATATATTACATATATACTATATATAATATTATTATTAATTGTAATTATTATTTAATATTATATGATGTATTATATATGTATATATATATTATATTATTAATAAAATATATTATTATTATTAAATCATTTATATTGAATACTGAGGTCAGTATCTATTGGAAGACAGGCAGCTATTGGTTCAATTTAAAGGGCCACTGGGAAAGTTGATGTTTGTTTTTTCTAGTGGAAAATAGTAAATAGAGTGTGAAACGTTGGAAAATTATTTACTTGAACCAGCGTCCACTCAGGATGTGTAAAGACACGTTAGGTCAGCCGTTAGCTGTTTTCTTCAGAGTGACCACAGATGGGTTAACCTTTATCTCTTCTTTAGTTCTTGTAGTTTTACATATGGTTCTCAAATAGAGCTGACAGGTAGATACAGATGTGGGACCCGACTCACCTTCCTTTACAAAAATGCTAATTATCTGGATGAGCCGGGATGAAGTTAATCTGGAGAACTCAGAATAATCAGAAGCTCTGGGATGGTGTTTCTGCCCATCACACCTGATGGGTTTAGGGTTGTGGGCCGCTCTTTTTGTGTGTTTGTGGACAGTTTGGAGTCACTCCTGCCTTAAGCTGGAGCAGGCTGTCCCTGTCCGTCTGTATTAGCTCCTTAATAACATGCAGACAGCCAGATTGTGTGTGATGGCATTCAGCCCGGCGCCATTGAAGTCTGCTGTCATTTCTTTTGTCCAATGAGCTTGAAGCTAATTTGCATGAAATTACCAAAAGAAAAAAAAACTTCTTGAGAGGCCCCTGGGCCCCTTTCAAAAAGACATGCTCAGACACACACACACACACACACACACACACAGTCTTTGTGTGCTTCGTTAGTCCATCAGTGTCTCTCGGTCTCTCCACAGGCATCTCAACAACAATAGGATCGTTTCCATGGGACCCAACTGCTTCCACGGGCTCCACAGTTTGGAAACGCTGTGAGTTTGTGTGTGTGTGTGTGTGTGTTTGTGTTTTTGAGGGGGTGTGGGAGAAGTGAGGGTTGAGTTCAGGTCAGGAGGAGCCGGGAATAACCGGCCTTAAACCAGGTCCAGTCTCCTCCACAAATCCTCACAAAAAT